TCTCCAGCGGATTGGTAAGTGCTCGTTACCTTACAGCTCTTTGCATAAAGGATGGCACTGGCGTGAAATTTTCGTTCAATTAGGAAATGTTAGACTTAGTGAAATTTTGCTCGTGTACGCTCATACTACCCTTATTTATCATCTTCGCAACATGGGATTTCGCAAGATCAGTCGTGATGTGAAACTTGCGGCAATCCGACTCCATTTGGATGAGCTCATGCACCTCCTTGCGACAAACCAATTCATATCTGTCCATTTCACGACAATTTTCCGCAAGCTCGAACGTGCTGATGTGAGCTACAAGAAACTCAAGGTGGTGTAAGGATCTTTGTGGGCTGGGACTGCTCAGGCTCGTTATCTTCGCCGTCAGAGTCAGAGTCAGGTTCCTCTTCCTCCAAAACATCAGTAAACCGGTGAGACTCAGATATTAGTAGATTTTGTAGTATTTCCAAGCCCAATGCTTCTTTCCTGTAAATTACGATACAAAGTAATATATAGCAATCTAAAGCAATGTAATCACGCCAATTCACGCTCAGTTCAGACTCAGATATTGCTCTACATCACTTTATATTGCTTTATATTGTTTTATAACGTCATGTATAGGAAAGAGCATTTCGGCGTACAAAATATGGGAATATCGGTGGCTCACCGGTTTGCTGATGAAGTTCTTTCATTCGAATATCGTCCTCATCGGACCCATTGGAATCAAGGTCACTGTCATGCTCTAGCAGGCTCTTGTGTTTTTTGGAGGCAGGAATAGTTATAAAGGGCATGATGATAATGAATTACAGGGGGTGTGAGTGTACAATGAGCAAAATTTCACGCCGGTGCCATCCTTTATGCAAAGAGCTGTAATTGCTTCTATACGCATTTTGGGAGTTTCAATTCAGATTCTCCTTCATTTCGTCAAGCTCCTCCTTCCTCCACCGTGCACCACGTTACCGCTGTCGAAGTGCCACCAGCAACACCAAGTCGCTCTCAGAAGCATGAGGAAGAAAGAGAAGCCAAACTTGATCACATCTTCCTCTATCGAACGTCTCGATCCCTCCTGAACAAACTCTCAATATGGCAGCTTATATCCCTCATGGATACATCGCGCACTGAAACGACGCACGGAGCTCTCCACAAGAATGAACGTGACCGGATACAGAAGACGTAGTTGAACCTCTGTGGGTATTGACCAACAACGAGACCAATTGTTTTAGGTTCAGATCAAAGCCCCAAGAGAAATGCACCCTCCTCCGCTCTAGGCTCTTTCCCAACTTTCCCCTTTCCGATGAACGGATCCTCTACAGACGAATCCCTCCCCGGTTCTTCTCCCCACCATTCATCGTTCGCTACCGCACCAGGAACAAAGTGAAACAACAACAAGCGAGTGCGCAACGCAGGACAAAGCACACAGTGCGCTAACCCGGCAAGTCGACGACTGGTGTTGCAGATAGACGCCAGGACAATAGCGCCTGCTGTAACCGCCAAACGTATCCGCACCGCAAGTAACCATCCTCGTCCCCGCAATGCCGTGCATAAACCACCTCCAGACAGCTCGAGTTCTATACCTATATTCAGGAGCTCAAGGTCACGCATCACCGAGAGAATCTCGAATGTATACACCGCAGGGAGTTTAAATACATATCCTACTGGGAGAACTTCAATCCCTCCCACTACCCACAGCTCAAGTCTTACGCCGTTCGGCACAGACGAGAAACGTTCTCTCGCATCTGGCCCTTTTACTTGATTCACCTGACAGCTTGGGCAATACTTATATAACAGACAAAGACGAAGATGCGGACGAGGACGAGGAGTTATGGCTACAAATGTCTTCGCCCGATATACTGCCGCTCGGCAAGAATGGGCGGGTCGCGCGTGCCAAGGAACGCATTTCATCAACCACAGCAGACAATGAGGCTTGGAAGGTAGGGACATCAATTTGTGCTGCGAGAGTTGAGGTGCGTGACGGGTAGTGTATTGTATGCGTTTTAACACCTTTGGGGTAATTGTTCTTCGTTGGTTTAGCAGATGTCGTAGAGGCACTTAGCCTGCCGTATACTACCATGGACAAGTATGGCGTAGCCACGTCAAGCTCTTAACATCTCAAAGACGTAGTCCAGACTGGTTACACGTCTAACCCGATATAGCTTCAAAGTCGTCACGTCATGTTCTTGATGTCTGCCTCACGTCAGTGTTCAGCAGTCATTTTCTCTCTCCATTCTGCCTCGGCCAGATACAAAATAATTCTCTGCTATGTCTCCACTTCTTTCAAGCTTGGTTGCTCCCGATGTCCTCCGATTCAGAGTCCCCCCCTATAACTCACTACTAGTAACTCACGCGTCGTGCTATCAATCATACTGCACCTATGTGAAGGCAGCAACACAACTCACTGCCACACTAATTGACCTCGCATGAATAGAGGAACTACCACGCCAGTGAGTCATGTGGTTCAATACAGGACGCAAACTACTCATACTCACACACGATTTATTCTTGCAGTGTCTGCATTAGCTATCATAGTCGCAATTGGTAGGGCATCCCTGTGATTCAATGTCGGCAAGGTCACTGGCAGGTGTGGATGCTGCAGAGATTGATGCTGTCAAAGCAGCAGCAAGAAGGAGGACGAAGGTAAAACGCATTGTTCAATGTTTGTGAGGGAGGATGTGATATGGGTTCAAATCTATCTGAAGGGGACAGTAGGAAGACGGCTTGCTATTATGTGCTGAATATTGACATCCGTGGCGATGAAGGAAGAACCTATCTACCCTTTCAAACAGATGCAATGCCAGCAGACTGCCGCTTTAGATTGTACGCATCTAGTGACATTTTGGAACGTGGGCTGACTTTACGAAACATTTGCAGTGCGTCAGGGTCAAGGTTTTTCGCGCGAGTATTGGTCCAATCTCACGAATTTATCGACCATTTCCTTGCTCGAGGTGGAGATATGGCGCTATAGAGGTGGTGAAACGGTCCCACTAAACAAGGTAAGAACGACAAGACATACCAGTCGATCGTGTTCAGCGTCAAATTCTACTTTGGTCTCGTTGCGCAGGAGTTTTTGCATCACGCCCTCAGTCCGTCGCTGCCTCTCGCACTGATTCTCTTGAGTTGCTGATATCACACACCAAGATTCTTCATGGACCCTCACGCGCACGTTCATAGAAGTCCAAGAGCGTGGCCGAATGAATGTCGTCACAATTCAGTGATCCGCTTCCAAGGCCTCCGATACCAAGGGCCTACGAATTGCGGGAAGTGCATGTATGTCATCAAATTGTCATAGATTAGATTCAATTCCAGTGGGGGGGGTTTTCAAGATAGTCGTTTCTTCTTGATTGGTTTTTCCTGATGTTGTTTTCCGTCATCTGGATTCGTCCAGAACGCTGCGTTCAATGGTTCCCGCGCGCTCAGCTTATTCAGCGCATACTGTATCGGCGGCGTCGCGGACAGAATCGTCGATGTTGATCGGTTGATCATTAATGAGATCGCCCCTTTAGCAATTGCTTTAGTCCCTCAAGAGTCAAGACAGTGCATAATTTTTTTCCGCACTAGAAGTGTCATTCAACAACACTTTCTCTCTTCTTCCCTCGACACTCGACAATCTCGTACTCCAGGCGCTATACTCTTCAGCATCACTCATTCATGCTGTAGAAGACTCGGAGTTCATGCAAGGTCGTTATAATTAAAATTGTGTGCTCGTATCTTCTTTTTATCTCATTATCGGGAGGTGGAAGTGGGCCATGCCGCGCCGTTCAAACAAAACAATTCACATTATCATAGCCATGTTTGTATCTATCTAGATACATCGATTTTATTCAAACTGTCCTGAACCAGTGGCTGTGTCCATTCATCCTTGTAGTTGTGTCCATTTGTCATACTTGCATGCTGGCTTAACGAAGTTAACGTTCCTCACCGTCTTGTCACATCTCACTTCAAAATGTAGCACTATGTATATACGTGTGGTGCTCGACTCAGAACATCCTACAGTTGACGAGGGTACACCATGAAAGGATTGGAAAGAATAGAATGAGGACAAGCAAAACAGCACGCCAGTAAATTAACACCTGCCGTGGGGCCCAGAGAACTTTCTGACCGCTGTGATAAGAAATATACAGATCAGTGGCTGGCAAACATATGTCGTGGATAGAAGGCTCGAATCTAAGACATGACAGTTATTTTCAGTGAGTCGTTGCAAATCAGCATTGAGATGGGTCAACTTAGTCCGACACATGTCTGGATCGCGGAACATGGTAAACAATATCAAAGGCTTCCTCCTAGCCTTTTGCCTTCACATTCGCTTCGCTGGCTCAGATCAGCGGTACCGGAAACCTGGTCGTCAAATTGGTGCTGATCAGGTTGGTTTCAGCGTTGTGCCATAGTTTAACGCAGTAGCACACATGTAAATTAAGTAGCATTGAAACAACAATTCACGTATCCAGCGTGTAATACTATGTACATCAATAATTACACGTACATCCCAATAGACGAAGTATACGTATAGGGGTATGCAATATAGAATAATGACGCGGTGCATGTATGTAGCGAGTAGGGTAGGGTATATCGCACCCCGTCCCCAGCGCCTAGGCCCATCGTCGTGTAAGTAGCACTTAAGAGTGCGGTATGAAGTCGTGCGTCGTGTCTGATGTGAGAATCTGTGTTGTATGCGGTAAAGATCGTGCGTGGTATGCGTAGGGATCGAATGCGTAGTATGCGGTACAAAGCGTATTTGAGGTAGGAATCATGCATCCTATATGAAGCAAAGAGTGCGCGTGGTATGTCTGACACGAATCGTCAAACTCGTCAAACTATCCAAAAACGACGCAAACCCACCTAATAGTCCAAACAACAAATCTTACAACTCGAAATTAAGCGAGTCTCTATCCTCGCTCATAACTCTTGCATACTCGAGGAATAACCTGAAGACTACGGTTGGCTTTGCGTGTATTGAAAGGGTCGCAAACTGCACTCACCTAAACAAATAAGCAGTCATATCCTCCTTCCTCCAAAACGCCCTACTCCATTCCCTCCCGCTCCTCGCAATCTTCGCTCCAAGGTCTGCATGAGCTCCTCGGCCTGAGGGGTCACCGCGGAAGAAGAGGAGGGCGTCGTAGAGGTCGGAGTAGTCGATTTGGATGGGGATGTAGTGAACCCAAGGGGAGAGACGGTCTGTGAACCTGTTTGGGGTGGGACACGAGAGTAGGAATACAAGAGGAGCAGGAACATAAAAATAGTGAGGTTGAGTTAGACTGGAGCGAGAGAAGGGGGGGAACGAACCATTCAGGATATACCGTAGACTTGAACACGAGCGAGTTGGTCGTGATAAGCCGTTTAAACCGACTCGACCACCCATTGCCATCCACCTAGCGAAACAAACACGTGAGCCGCTCCGCAGAAACAACGAGAAACCGACAAGAAACCGATTGTAGCGCTTTTGTAAAGAGCCAAAACCAACGTAGAACCCAAAAATGCAAACTCACATCAAGCACATACTTATATCTCCCCGCATCCCTAACGCTCATCCTCCTCCTCCACTCAAACCCCTCCTCCAACTCCCTACATGTTTCAGGCTCGCACTGACTAGGACTCCCCGCAAACGCAATATCGAGCATCGCAGGGTTCATCCTCGCCTTCTTCATTTCTTCCACCTTCATCCCCTCCCCATCCCCATGATCGTCCATGACCAACACCTCAACGCTCCCATCTGTCCTCTGCGCAATTTCCACCAACCGATCCCTCTGCGAATCCCTCCAAGGTCTATCGCTCGCATGATGAATGCCCGTATTAAGCCCCCTCCAAAGAAGGCGCTCATCTTCCTTTTTCTCCCACGCACCTTCTTCATCTCTTTCGCCTTCGACGTCATCCACCCATGATAAAGGTACGGGTACTCGGATATCAGCGTGTAGAGGACTGGAGCAGTAACTGAATTGCGGGACGGGGAAGGGGTTAGCGGAGGGTCCTGTGCCGTGAGCGAGGAATTGGCCATGTTGGGAAAGGTGGGAGGGATGTGCGCAGGGGTCCATTGCTTGGAGGTGGTCGTAGATGAAGGTTTTTGGTTTTTGGGTGGTGGATGGGGACCGGAGTGGGTTCCGTGCGACGGAGTCCAAGGGACATGCATGGATCCAGCCGCTGGTGAATGGTGCCGGATCTTCATTAAGAGGATCGATATCTAAAATGATGAAATGTTGGTTAAGGCACTTGCGACGGAAACGGATATCATACATTCGCCCCTTTCGCCCGCCTCTACGGCTCTTCTTCTCATATCGTGTGTGATAAACACGTTAGGGTTATCATGAGGGCTGAACACCGCCCTAAATGTGGGCAGATCATCTTCGACCTCAACCAAGAGATCGATCAGCTGGTTGGCGCCGATAAGTAAACGATCCCTTGCAGCCTCGTCTTCAGGCAGTGTCTCATTTCCGACGTGCAAGGGCCCAAGCGGACTAGATTTAGCGAGGGTGTATGAGTGGACGTGTGCCTCCCAATCGCGTTGGATCGCCTCCAAGGGCACGGGGTCTATACCCCAGAATGGTGCGAGATCGAGGTGGATCTGGTCATATTCATCTGGTAGCTGGACGTTGTGTTTTTTGACGTAGGCCCACCTGTAAAACCGCTGTCAGTTTACACGACATTTTGGGCCCTTACGATGGACAGTTTGACACGGAGATGATGAAGCGAGTAGGAGAAAAAATGAGGCAGGAAAGGTACCCGAAACAAGGCGGAAACAGGGAAGAAAGGCGGCTAAGCTTGTCTGAGACGTACCATTTATCAAAACCTGGCGGAGGAGCCCTCGCGTATCTGCGACGGTACTCATGGACTGCCTCGGGTAGTGTTTGACTGACATGAGCGAGCTTGGCGTCCCACTCTTGTTCGGCACGTGCGATAAGGTCGAGGATGGGATGTCGACCGTCTGGGTTCACTTCTAGTAAACCGTCTGGGCGGAAAGTATGGGCAGGGCGTGGTATGGGGCGTGGTAGAGGCTTCTGGGTAGAGGGAATCAGACTCTAAACTCCAGGAGTCGGATTCGAGATGAGGTGACCGTGGGGGATCTGCAGGATAATCTACAATTGGTGCGTGCCAATGCGCTTGATATGATAGAGGCAGGTACGCCGAAAAGTTAGTATTAAGTGGTGTGCCAATTGATTCAGTGATGGATATCGGGGCTAGGGTGAAAGCGATGAGGGTACATCCAAAGATCACGAGGAAGGTGTAACTTCGCACAGATTTGCGAGCGACTCGGAGAGCAAACATGGGGAGCGTCAAACGTTAAACTGAGACATACCATTGGACCTTTATTTGATGCAATTATATGCCAAGCAAGCGCTATGAAATTCAATGAATGCGCCTTCGGAACGCTCGGGACCTGATGTAAATTGACCCTGGTTTTCATCCCCGTCAGCGCTTGAAATGATAAGGAAACGTGGGCTAAAACTAGTACCCGCTGTCTGACATCCAGCCTTGTCCAGCCTTGTCCAGCCTGACATGTCTGAGTCGATCGAGGCAACGACGTACCTTACCTTGACCTTACCGGTACACCGCTCATAATTAAATAAGCGATTGCTTATCCGTTGCCAATATATATATCTCGTTGCTGGGAATTACCTTTTTCTTCCTCCAGACATGGGAGCTACCAACAGCGGAAATCACTACGCAGCTCCAAAGTCTGTCACATGTGGCAGACCCTGCATCAAAACATCAATGCGGGAGAACCATATGTACATGGCGTATATTATGATGCAGCTCGTACTTTATACAATAATTATGATACGATGAGCGCGGTATCATGATAACTAAAGGAGAATGGGCGACCAAACGCACGCAATAGGGGATAGAGCAAGTAAATTCAGAAGTGTGGTATTACCCTCAGTTCCAACTCAGGAACCTAGTGTTGCGTTGCAACCCTGCATGCGCAGTTTGCATGACGTTACAGGGCTACTCTAACATATGCTTGTATTTCCTGAATGTGGTCTCTTTCATATCGGATCTTCAAAAATCAACATGCGTCTCAACGCCACGCAGCTGGCCGTGCAGTAATACTTACCTGCCTATGAGAATCCCACCATGAGTCGACCTTTGAACCGGTACTTTCACTTTCGCGTGGGGCAGCTGATCATTGGCTCCGTTCGTACGCTATTGAGATCACCCAATGGGTGCGACATCTCGACTCGCAAGTTATTGAACGACTTAATTAGCTGGCTATGAAGTAGGGGTAGGTATCTGGGTGAACAGCGGAAATAACGCGGAAATACGACGAGAAACAGGAATTCAGAGCGAGCGTTACAGGATGTGGTGAAAGTGAGACAGTTGAAGATGAAGTGCAACGCATAGAACTTTTCATCAACTTGATTAGTCAGCATGATTCAGACTCAGCTGGCAACGACTTGGCACCAGCCCTGTTACGTACAGGCCCATGGCCAGCAACCCAAGGTATGTAGATCCAGGAATATTAATATTGAAAGCGGAAGCTCCCTTGGCATCAAACTCGGATGTCACCCGCGGGATCAAACCCATAAGTAATCTCAATTCACAGACGCCCATCCCCAAATTTGGGGAGATTCGAATCGCTTGAAAAAAAAAACTATCATGCCCCTCGCTCGTGATGCAGTAACAAACCATCTCCTGCTGATAAGGTAAAGAGAAGCGAACAGATTTTTTTCTCTATCATTGTCGGTACTTGAACATTCTCAGCTACATCATTTTCAAATACAGGAGAGGCGGAGCATACACCCCCTTTAACGCTTGAAATGATAAGCATTAACGTTCTGAACGTAGAACTGTCCGCTGTCCATCCTGGTCAGTGACATGTAATATCTGCGTTGATCGAGAAAGACGCTGAAAAATGTGCCTTATTTCACTACCGCTCGTAAATTAAATGGAGGATAGCTTATCCCAGTGCCAAAAAGCAAGACATGTCTTTGCTGCGGGAATACGACAGCGGTGATACAACGGTGATTGCCACTCAACTCCACACTCTGTCACATGTAGCTGACCCCGCTCGTCGGGAGAACCGTAGCGTATATGACGCAGCCTGAACTCAATACAATGCATATTGACACGACGAGCGCAGGAATCATGATAATGAGAGCGACCACAACATGCGAACACGTGAAATAGGGGGCAGAGAAGCACAAGCAGGACAGGAACACCGTCAGCTCAAATTCGGCAACAATCTTTGCCTAGCAGCCCATTAGCACCCCACGACTCAGCGCGTAATTTGAGGAACGGAGCTGTAGTGCAGCATGTGCTCCCGGTTCCTTCATATCGGGTCTTCAAAAATCAGCATGCTGTCTCCACGTTCCAATTGACACTTCGCGTAGCTGGCCGTGCAGTGATACTATTGGCGCACCTGCCTATGAAAATCCCACCAGGAGTCCTCAAGAACCTCAGCCCATTAAATTTGTAGAATTCATTCCTTGGAAATCGAGTCAAGTACATAGATGCGCACTTACCGCATGTACCACGTCTCAAAACCCGATTTGCAATCAGAGACAGGAGACAGGAGTCGGGAGACCAGTCAGCAGTCGTTCGGCTGCTGAACATCAGCTCCGTTTGGACGCTGTTGAGATCACCGCTGGGTGCAAAATATCGTCTCGCAGGCTGTCGAATGACGTGTTAGTTGGCTATGTAGCAGGGTACGTACCCGGGTTGGAATTACGCCCCGCGTAAGGAGACAGAGGATGGGAGAAAGTATGAAAATAAAACGACAGCGCTTGGCCCTTTCCACCAGGTGGACTAAGCAAGGCTCGGAAGGAAGGTGTCAAGTGCCAAGCGCTGTCGTTTTCCCTCAATGTTCACTTCAGCTGTGAGGGTCTTCGATTCGGGCAGTCGAATCACGGTCCAATTAATAGAAGCAGTCGAAAGATATGTATCTTGATTTTCCAGGAACTTCCATCAAGACCCTGCAGCTGACGACTCAACATCAAACTCGATTGGAGGTCACGTCGACAGGATCATCTCAATGCCCGGGCACTAGGTTCTTTAATGATTCGAGTCATCTGAAAGATTATCATCCCCTCATGCTGGTGATACAGTACCAAACCCGGGATGTCCAAGCGCCGGGATAACTCGCTTCGAGTCTGGGACTTGGAGAGTGGAAAGCAGGTTGGGAAGGCCTGGGACGACGAAGGGAGTGAAGGAGCGAACGCCATAGCACTTTCACCGGACGGCAAGAAAGTAGCAAGTGGGAGTTGGGATGGCGCAGTAAGATTGTGGGATGTTGACACAGGCAAGGTCATCGACAAATGGACGGGGCACACAACGAAAGTGCTGTCTGTCTGCTGGAGTCCAGACGGAGGGCGAGTAGTGAGCGGATGCTGGGATGGGCGAACTATGCAAAATACTCAATGATGGAGTGAGCCTGGTGTTGGAGTCCGAACGACCCGGACGATCAGAGACGAAGAAGACCGACCGATCCGAAATGGTTGAGGAGGGAGAGTGACAGGTGGTCCGAGCCCAAGCCAAAACGGACATTGACGAGCGACGTGTTGACGTCGGCTCGTGTCCTGCAATATGTTACTTATTCGTTTGATATATTTTTCGTTTCTACATAGCTTACTATAAGAACGCCACCAGTAGCGCGAGCGCATCTCAGCTTCTTTCAAGAGACTGAGATGTGAGTTAATAGTCTCTACGTATCGATTAGGACGCAACTAACGAGTCGCTAGTATACTTATTCATTAGGTACTTAGCTCGTTACACGAGCTTCTTTCAAGAGACTGAGATTATACTTGTTCATTAGAACGTCCCCGAAGGCCCGCGTTTAAAATACTCACCACACCTGGCATGGACCTTGGATGGAATGACCCTTATCGTGGGGTCACTATGGGGCGAGATCAGGAAATTCGAGACCGCCACCTGGACCGAAACCGCTGTTCTCGAGGGACACGAAGCTTGGGTCCATGCGATTTCGTTATCTTCGAATGAGCATATCCTTGCAAGCACATCAAACGACGAGACAGTGCGACTATGGAACCTCTTAATCATGAAGACCAAGTGCAATACGCGGCTTTTTCTGCGGATGGAAAGTTGTTCTTGACTGGCTGCGATGACGAGGCCCCACATATACACATGGGATGTATCTGCTATCGTAAGAGAAGCTGGGCTCGATCACCTTCTGTTAGACAATGTAAGCTTGCATACATCTCATCCTCAATAGCGACAATAATCTTACCCAAGGCAGCTACCCTTGCAACCTTCTCAGACGCTAGTGATGACACCGCATGTATGGGACCCTCAAGCTCCACACTATCGCATCATGACCAGTTCAGAAGACAGTATTAGACGGCCAACATGAAATGCATCTTCTTCAACAAGTTCGTGTGCTTGTCTTTGAAGTTCTTCCTCCAACGTTTGGGGTTAGTTAACTGTCCTTGTTGCTGGAAGCTGTGGCGGCATCATGAGACGGTGCAATTTCTATATACTTCATCAGAATTGCAGACACCTTACATATACCAACACACAAATACCACGATGCCGCATGATTTTTACTAATACTTCTGCCCAGAGTCCTGTCAACACTCGAACGACAACCAAATAAGTCCATTGCCGACAACCGGGCCCAACTTGAAGTGTCGCGGCACGAACCTCAAGCCAGCCAGTCACGATGAGCAACTTTGGTGCTTGTGGCAATGTTTCAACGTGGATAGGAAACCCTCAGGTCGAAATGACGCTCAGGGCTCGAGATCTGATGACGCTCAAGCTCACAAAGAACTTTGTGCAGTATGTAGTACAATGCAAATAAAAAAACAGTAGGAACTCGGCAATGTCACATTCAATCCTACACTTCGTCTGTTGAATCTTCTCACTATCAAGACTGGGATCTGTTGAGCGAAATGAGTCATCATTCAGTCCTTGGGAAGCGAACTTACCCCTCTAATTTACAAATTTTTTGAAAGCTTCATAGCAAGATATAATAATAGCCCTATTATCCAACGGCCTCATGCCTTCACTCCAACGGCGGTTAGGTCTTGGGATATTAGGAATGTGTGCATAGACAGTGGTTCGCGCTTCTGGGTAAACACCTCCAGCAACGGCAGTTACGAGTGCGGCTGTAATCTCAATTTTGTAAAAAGTTGGTGCGGTGCCATTCATAACGATCCCGGCCATGACTTTGGAATAAATGGGGCGTTGTCCGAAGGTTCGTTGGCGAGTCAGATTATTTGCAGCGAAAGCGGCGATGGCCTCAGCAATGAGCTGCGGTTCGGCATCTGAACTGTCCAAGTGTCGCTTGTCTTCTTGTACAAGGAGCAAGATTTGATTATCGTCAATGATGCACACATCGGTTTTGACGTGCCTATTTTCGGCACAAATGACGAGAGGGATGTCCTTCCTCGTCCTCAGAACCCTTCCTCTCTTCGTGTAGCCCAGTGCACGTAACAGCAGTACTGCATAGTCATCAACAGCAGATTCCTCTGCTGGAGCAGGAGACATAGCGAGGTCCATGGTGCGCAGGAGCTCGTAAACGCTGTCGTCAACTGCGTCGTTAGGCCCTGAAGCCGTGAGGATATCCGGATTGGCGGTGGGCTGGGGAAGGTTTTCTATTTCGAAAAAGGTGGCAGCATCCTGGTAATCGACCGTGATGTTGTACGCTAGGAGTTCATTGCTGGTCCAATCGTTACCAGACTTGGCGTTGCGAATGAGGGAGGCCATCAAAGGTATGTACTGTTAAAACTTTGTTAGCGATGATATCCAAGCCTACGAAGTCAAAAAGATAAAGTTGAAACCCAGTGAACATCGGACTGTGAGAGCGTGCGATAGTAATGCGCAAAGTGCCGAATCGTGTAGATACATTCCCTTCGCATTCGTGTCACAACCACACAGATTTCGCGACACTTTGCATTGCAATCACATTAATATTGCACTCGCATCTCCAATTGTACTCAGGTTGTGCACTCTACTAAGGTAAGCACAATTCTGCTATATCCCAGCTTGATGACTTACTGATCTTTCTTAGTACTAGGCCTATATCGTAGTACTAGGTATATATACTAGCTAATTTAACAAGCCTTTGTTTTCTCAATGGAATCATCCTTGGTCCAAAACTAGACCTATAATACACGAGTGATATTATGTCCAACTTATATCGGTGTCTGTCGACGACATGGAGCCTACTACCGCTTTTTACAAGACCGATGCGAGGAGGATGCAAGCGATCATGTGCGTCATGGAGCAAAGATAATGATTAAACAATGTGGCAACCACTGTCTTCATTCCAAGGCAATATCTAGTTCACACTTCTGCAACGTCGTTGACAGTATGATATTGCTGGTGTCGTGATTCGGGACAGTATGAAAAGCTAGCGAGGTCGACGAGTGTATGCTGGTTCCCCATACCGCAGGGAATTCGGACGAGAAAAAATTCTCGCTGTTGCTCCCTTTTTTCATCGTATTCAGACCATAACACGTAACTTACCTCTGAGGCTCTGCCATCCGGGCTGCTAGCACACACCCCTCGACGTTTGATCCAATGCGCCACTTTCTTCCTCCCAAGTCCTCAGTTCAGGGATCGATGACCTCATGCGCGCCCCATTGCTCTCTTCTACCTCAGTCATCGGGGATATAATAAGACGCTCGACTCAGGAAATAGTGTCGTAAGAATGCGAAAAAAAATGCTAAGGACAGGGCGAGTCTGATAGAAACCGATGCAAAACTCACCACACTAAATCCATCATGTATTTGTTTTCAATTTTGATGGCAGGAACTTCTTTAGCTTGCCGACAATCCAATCGCAGTGCGCACGTTATGCATTTCATTTCGGAGTTGATCTCATAGCTCGCAAACACAGCTGTCTTATCCAAAGATTTTCCCGCATGCTCTGCGTCCTCGAGGAGCGAATCTGAGAAACGCAGGTCAACAAAGTTCCGCTTGTAGTACATATATACTGATTCTGTCAGCTGGCATACTTGCTATATATTTGACTTATGATGATTTTGATTATCAAGCCTCACAACCCGGAACACCGGAGGCTGCAGTACTTCAGTCACTCATATCATGTTGTCGAGCCAATCAATTCTTCGAGATGTTCTATACAAGGGTCCCTATTGCCTACGACCTAGCAATCAAGTTGATCAACTGTAAAAAATTGCACCATGAGCGACATCACTAATACGAAGGCAAGAACATGACTCACTCTCGTGACGTGCGGTATCATAAGGGTCCTTGTCACTACTACACGCAGCGATTGCCCTCGATCATAGTATACTATTACAAGGCGCAAATGGTGAGTCAAGCATTGGGTTGATGCTGTATGCCAAGCAAACGACTCACGACACATTTTTCAGAGCAACATTGACTGTCCACCGAGCATTGTGCAGAAGTCGGAAGGCAGTCTGGTTCCCCAATTGGGGCAGCTGGTGTTGCGCTAACAGACATAGATGCTGTGAAAACAGCCACAACGGTGAGGAAGAAAAAACGCATTTGTTGTATGAGATATGGAATCTATCAGACGGGAGTCTCGTATAGTTCTGAGGTAGTGTACCGTAGGGGAGACGGCTGGCTTTTATGTCCCGAAAGCCTCGTTAACCATTATGAGAATGAACAATAGATGGCGTAATAGTAGTCGTTCATCGGCTCTGTGACTGGCAGGAGGAATGGAGGCTAACATAAATGGATAGATTCGAACTTCGCGACCCGTTATTTTATAAATCTGTTACCAAAGCACGAGTCCATGTGCTCGAACTTGATCGGCTGCGAATGGTTAGTTTCCTGTAGGCAGACCAAATAGAATGAAGATAGTCGGGTCAGAACGGGTCTCTCGCCTACATTTCTTTCTACCACCTGCCATTCCCTTATGCATAAGACAATCGCGACACAATTTAAACCCACACTCGCCTAGATACACGGCAAGAACACAGAATGCCTTGTCGCCAGGAGGGACAATACTCTGCAAGCACCACTACTCAAGTTGGTATGAGCGCTCAGGGTGGAAAGTGACCTGGTAAGGCTTGACTAACTGTTTCCGACATTTACATGATCATTCTGTCCACTTAAGCGAGAAATCCCCTGCTAGTGGAAGCGAAAGAGTGTTCTTACCAAAGTATGCATGCAACTAGTCTCCCCTATTCAGATCCAATAGAATGAAGATAGTCGTTCTAATAAAGGCTAAAGCATGCTCAGTACATATTCGTTACGTTCCATTCGCAGCTGATCAAGTTCGAGCACATGCGCATACCATTTGCAACGCTACTTCATGGTGCAAACAGCGATCGCCGGAATAGGTCTTGACGCCCTGCGGCAGTGTCTTACTAGTAACGCAAGCATGCCAGAAGCGTGTACTACAGAACGACGTACGAAAGAAATATGTCTATCGGAATGACAGCGTCAATTCATCCAAACAATAAGTCAAATGAGAGCGAAAAATCAAGCTTACCATACTCGCATCAGACGCGAACAGAAATCACTTCTGTACGATACTCGTAATCTGTCCATCAGCAGCAATTATCCTCGTGGCCGTAGCGCTCGTGGCCGAACAGGCAGCGGGTTACTCAATAGGTGGGGACGATATATATGGATAGTCGTGGGTGAGAGGGGCGTCCCGTAGGAAGACATGGGTGTAGCGGGAATCGACGCCGACTCTGGAGGATATCGGGGAACGCTATGGATGAAAACGGCAAGCAAGCGGACAAGAAAATACGCGATGTATATCGTCTAATGCATCGCCCATAAGTACATACAGCGGTTCCAGTGTTGCAAATGTCGGGGTGACTCAGGAGCGTGTCAGGGCCAGTTTATGCTGGCAGTGTGGCACGTCGATTAGGGTACGGACGAAAATTCGGTTGTTAACAACCCGTGTTAATAACAGACACACGGCCATGGGGGGGTTACAAAGTACTAATAAGTCTGCCGACCCCTACAGACTTGGTGACCTGCCAGGTGCCTGACCTTCCGCCGTTCTCGCAGATCATTACAAGATCATTAACCTAAGAGTTTGCAATGCAAATCCTGCAGAGAAGCAAGCTGTCGTCTGACTTGGGACTCAGGAGTCTCGCAATGAAGTTCGACTATTTCCTCTCAGTCGAGCACTCGAAAATGGCCAATGTTTTTAAAGGCTCAGACGATATTCTTGCATAGACGGCACCCGGATATTTCATTCGGCGATCTCGACTCCATCATTTCTGCACCCAAAAAATCAGCAGCTCGTTGAAGCCACGAGCCCACTGGCAGCTATTTGTCTGTGGACACGGAACAGCAGGAAGAAATACTTGAAGGTGAAGAAGATACTTGGCTCGATGAGAAGCTAGTCTCTAAGCCAGCCGAGGATTCGGCCTTCGACATTGAGGCGGATGTGAACTTTCACGCGCCAATTGTTACCAAGGCCTTGTCTGATCAATAAGAAGAAAGTCCTAGTAATGACCCGGGTAGCACTCGAGGCGACGCTACGGAGGAGGATGACGCTAAGTTGGAAGGCATGCCATGACACTGACTGGGATAGCTTGCATGGTAGCAGCTGTAGCGAAATTGTCATTTTTGGGTCACGTGGACGTTAATAACATGTTAATAACAGCCGGATGACTTTTCGTCCGTACCCTAACGTCGATCACGAACACAGCGGCTGGTGACTTCCAACCGTCAAATCCAGTGGTGTTGCGCAGTGGGAGCCATAATGCCAATACAATGCATGTTATCGCTGACAGCCTCGAGATTTGCGCTGAGGGCGTTATTGGTTTCGTGGACGCCCCCGAACCTTTACTGGGGGTGTATTGCTCCACCTATACTGAAGGGCTCACGAAACGGAGTGAGACAAATTAATCGGTGGCAACATATTTATTTTCACTTGTCAACTGTCGCACTGCAGTGCGCAACGCCCCTCTTTGTGTAGCAATTGCACACTGCCTGAGGACTACATACTAGCCCGCTAATATGAAGGACTCATGACGCATACCGCACGGTGCGTGGTATACGTCTGCGGCGAAAAATCCGCGAGGTATGTCTGATGCGAAGCATGAGTCTTGTCTACGGTACGAATCGTCAAATCCGACAATCTCCCCAAAACAACGCAAATCACCTGATAATCCATACAACAAATCCTACAGCTCGAAATTAAGCGCATCTCTATCCTCGCTCATTATTCTCGAATATTCGAGGAATAACCTAGACGCATTATGTACAGTTAGCTTTGCGTGTACATCCAACGCCCCACCTCACCCACGCAAACGCAAAGGAAACTCACCTAAATAAATAAGCAATCATATCCTCCTTCCTCCAAAACGTCCTACTCCACTCCCTCCCCCTCCTCGCAATCTTCGCTCCGAGCTCTTCATGCGCCCCTCGGCCTGAGGGGTCACCGCGGAAGAAGAGGAGGGCGTCGTAGAGGTCGGAGTAGTCGATTTGGATGGGGATGTAGTGGACCCAGGGGGAGAGGCGGTCTGTGAACCTGGTGGGTGGAAGTCACAAGAGTAGCGGGAACACAACAATAGTGGGTTGGGTAGGAACACGCAAGTAGCAGGAAACAAGACAATGTTTGATTTAGTTAGGCTCGGACGAGAGAAAGAGAAACGCACCATTCAGGATATATCGTAGACTTGAACACGAGCGAGTTGGTCGTCATGAGCCGTTTAAAGCGACTCGACCACCCATTACCATCCACCTAGCAAAACAGAACGTGAGCCACTCCGCAGAAATAATAAATAACACAAGTAAGAGATTATTCGTAGCGCATCCAGAAAGCACCAAGTCCAAAACCGACCGTACACACAAAACTCGAAAAAAAAACTCACATCAAACACATACTTATACCTCCCCGCATCCCTAACACTCATCCTCCTCCTCCACTCAAACCCTTCCTCCAACTCCCTACATGTCTCTGGCTCGCACTGACTAGGACTCCCCGCAAACGCGATATCAAGCATCGCAGGGTTCATCCTTGCCTTCTTCACTTCTTCCACCTTCATCCCTTCCCCATCGGCATCCATTATCAACACCTCAACGCTCCCAACTATCCTCTGCGCAATCTCCACCAACCGGGCCCTCTGCGTATCTCTCCAAGGCTTATCACTCGTATGAAGAATACCTGTATTAAGCCCCCTCCAAAGAAGCCTCTCATCTTCCTTGTTCTCCCATGCACCTTCGTCACCTTCTTCGCCTTCAACGTCTTCCACCCACGATAAAGGTATAGGCACCCTGATATCAGCGTGGAGAGGGCTGGAGCAATAACTGAACTGGGGGACGGGGAAGGGGTCAGGGGAGGGTCCAATGCCGTGGGCGAGGAATTGGCCATGTTGGGAAAGGTGGGAGGGATGTGCGCAGGGGTCCATTGCTTGGAGGTGGTCGTAGATGAAGGTTTTTGGTTTGTTGGAGGTGGACGGTGGGTTACGTGCGGTGGAGTTTAATGGACAGGCGTGTAGCCAGCCTCTGGTGAATGGCGCTGGGTTGTCATTGAGAAGATCAATATCTAGAGTAATGAAGTGTTGGTGAAGATACTCGTAAAGGATACAGAAAACGTACAGTCACCCGTCCTGCCCGCTTCTACGGCTCTTTTCCTCATCTCATGTGTGATAAACACGTTAGGGTTATCATGAGGACTGAACACCGCCCTAAACATAGGCAGGTCATCTTCGACTTCAGCCATCAGATCGATCAGCTGGTTGGCGCCAATGAGTAAACGCTCCCTCACAGCCTCCTCATCAGGCAGCGTGTCATTTCCGACGTGCAAGGGCCCGAGAGGGGTAGATTTAGCGAGGGTGTATGAGTGGGCGTGTCCCTCCCAATCGCGCTGGATTACCTGTAAGGACACGGGGTCTATACCCCAGAATGGTGCGAGATCGTGATTGATCTGGTCGTATTCGTCTGGGAGCTGGAGGTTATGCTTTTTGACGTAAGACCACCTGTGAAGACGTTGTCAGTTTACACGAAATTCGGGCCCTTACGGTGAACAGTTCGACATGAGGCGGGATAGGTACCCGAAACAGGGCGGAAACGGGGAAGAAAAGGTGGCTGGGCCTCGAGGACGTACCATCGATTAAAGCCTGGCGGAGGAGCCCTCGTGTACCTGCGACGATACTCACGGACTGCCTCTGGTAGTGTTCGACTGGCACGGGCGAGCTTGGCGTCCCATTCCTGTTCAGCACGTGCGATGAGGTCGAGGATTGGATGTGCCACCGTCTTGGTTCACTTCTAGTAAACCGTCTGGGCGAAAAGTATGGGCAGGGCGTGTACTGGGGCGTCGTTGATATGCTAGAGGCAGATACGCTGAAAACTTTGTGGCCAGTGATGTACCAACTGATTCAGTGATGAATATTGGGGCTAGAGTGAACCCAACGAGGGTGCATCCAAGGATCACGAGGAACGTATAACATTGCAGAGATCTGCAAGCGATTCGGAGGGCGTACATGGGGGAGCTTTAAACAGAAACATACCATTGGACCTTTAATACGATTCTATGCTGAGCAAACGCATGGCGCATTTCATCGATGACTACAATGAAGTTCAATGAATGCATCTTCGGAACACTCGTTGCCCTATCAAAACCTTAGTTTTCAGCCTGGCATGTCTGAGTGGCTCGAGAAAACGACATACCTTACCGGTGTACCGCTCATAATTAAATAAGCGATAGCTTATCCGTTGCCAAAACATATCTCGTTGCTAGGAATTACCTTGCTTGTGAAGTTCTTCCACCCCACTACACAAGACATGGGAACAACGAACAGCGGGGATCACTACTTAGGCAGCTCCAAAGTCTGCCACAATTTTCCACATGTGGCAGACCCCGCATCAACAGCAGACCCCAACATCAACGCGGAGAGAACCATATATAGCGTATATTATGCTACTTCATACAATACATCACTGATTACGACGAGCGCAGCATCACGATAACTAAGGAGAATGAGCAACTGAACGCGCGCAATAGGGGAGAGCAAGTAGACTCAGGACAGGAGAAGTATGTGTAGGGACCCAGTTCCAACAGTCTTGAGTTGCAACCCAGTTTGCACGACGTCGCAGAGCTACTCCAACGTGTACTTGCATTTATTGAAGATGGTCCCTTTCATATCGGGTCTTTAAAACATATCGTCTCCACGTACATCGCGCAGCTAGGCCATGTGTACGCGATATTTCTGGCGCATTTGCCTATAAGTAGAATTCCGCCAAGAGTCATCGTCAGCCTTTAGGCTAGCATATTACTCCGATGGAATTCACTTACTTATCTTCCGCATTACAGAGCCTTGGTCCATTGAATCGTAGCGGCAACACATGCCTTAGAAATTAAGTCAAGTAAATAGAGTACTATATGCGCGCTTACCACATGTACCACGCCCCGAAACCCGAAACCCGACTCCAGTTTCGAACAACTAGTGTCAGTGATTGGAGCAAGAGTCGGGCGCGGGTATGAGTTAGGCTGCTAATCGTCAGATCCGTTCGGACGTGTTTAGATCACCCAATGGATGCGAAATCTCGGCTCCCAGGCTGTTGAATGACTTGATTAACTAGCTATGCAGCAGGCGTGTCATATGCCCTGGGTGCACCATGAACTGCAGATCGAAATCACATCACGATTGTCACATATGGTGGGAGAGAAACCAAAGTTATATGCGAGCGAGGCTGCGAGAAACCAGGAATTTCGAGCAAGCGTTGGATCCAGATGGGGTAAGTACCGGTGAAACCAAGATTTTTTTTTCTTGCAGCGAGCTCGGTTCCTTCCGAACACATACCGCTTAGTCAACTTGTTCGTTGTCCAAAACCTTGATACTCATTGAGCTGGCTTGGAGCTGGCATCCCCAAAGTTGGAGTTGCCCTATTACCCATGGACCAACAACCCAAAGGTATGTATCTTGGTCTTCTAGGAATTTTGGATGCGGAGGTTCATCAAAGCCTTTGCCATCAAACTCGGATGTCACACCGCATGGGATCAAACTCATAATCTCGATTCCAAGGCGTTAATCCCCAATGATTCGAATCGCGTGAAAGACTGTATCCCCGCAGTGATCATGATACGGTAACAAACCAAGCATGTCCAAGTGCTGATAAGGTTGTGAGCCAAACTCTTATATATCGTTGTCAGCACTCGAACATTCTCCATGCCAAAAGCTACATCAAATACAGGTAACAGGGGAGGCGGAGCATAGTTGGCTTTTCACAAAGCCAAATTTTCATCACCGTTAGCGCTTCGAAATGATAAGCAATTGATGTTCTGAACGTGAGTTAAAACTCTCCGCTTTCCATCTTGGTCAGTGACATGTCTGCGTCGATCGAGAAGACGCTGAAAGACGTGCCTTATTTCACTACCGCTCATAAATTAAATAGGCTGATAGCTTATCCCAGTGCCAAAGGTCAGACATATCTTTGTTGCTGGGTATACGGCAGAGGTGATGCAACGATGATCGCTACTATTCAGCTCCACATGTAGCAGTACCCTGTAGCAGAGACAGAATAGGAACGCCGTCAGTTCAAATTCGGCAACAGTCGGGCGTAATTTGAGTAACGGAGCTGTAGGCAGCATGTGCTCCCGGTTCCTTTATATCGGGTCTTTAAAAGTCAGCATGTTGTCTCCACGTCCCAAAATTCACTTCAGGCAGCTGGCCGTGCAGTAATACTTTGGCGCAATTGCTTGTGAAAATCCCACCAGGAGTATAAAAAAAGATGTCAACCTTTGGGCTGGCATACTACCTCTCATGGCATCCACTTCCTCCGCTTGCATTGGTACTCAAGAACCTCAGTCCATTATATTCATCCTTTGGAAAATGAGTCAAGTATATAGAGTATATGCACACTTACACATGTACCACGTCCTGAAACCCAATTCTCGACTCCAGTTTCTAACAACTAGAGTAACTTACCTACAGTCAGAAAAGGAGTCGGGCGTGGGTATCATGAGACCAGTAAGCAGTCGTATCAAGATGATAGGAAGACGAGCACGGGGAGAGGTGAGCTATACAAAGAATGTATTATCTCAGTATCTGGAAGAGACTCCAGTATACGTGAATAGTACCTATACAAAGAATGTATTCTAAGGGTACATTAGCTCGTTATTGAGAAAGAAAAGAACTATAGGGCTTACATCTCAGTATCTGGAAGAGACTGAGATGTTACGACGCTGGTGCACTTATTTTAACTACGGGTAAAGTAGGGATAGAGTAGAAATTAGTTTGAAACCTATTCGCATAGTCACTTGGCCGAACGACTGCTCATTGCACTCGTATCTATCATGACATAAATCGCAGTCGGTCCTCCTGTCCTGATTCGTCTGTACTGTGACACTCCCCCTCGAGCGCAATCCCCTAGGCCCATGAGTTGACGAAGCTTCTGGAGTTGAGGACGTGGTAGTGGCTTGGTGAACTGCGTCTGCGATGTTGTCATCAGTGGGGCAGTATGTGAGGGAGAATGTGCCATTCTTGACGTGGCTCCTAACGAAATGGTAGTGCAGGTCTATGTGCTTCGTGCGTGAATGGAACTTATTTTTTGATGCTAAGGCAATGGCAGCTTGGTTGTTGGAGAAGATGGGAGTTGGAAGTTTGACCGCTTCATACAGTTTGTTGAGAAGAAGCTGCAGGTATAGTATCTCTCGCCCGACAGTGGTCAGGGTGATGTACTCGGCCTCAGCAGTTGAGAGGGCTATTAGGGGTTGCTTTCCTGGTGCTCCAGGCAACAGGGCCACCATTTAAGAGGACAATATAGCCCGACATGGAGTGTCTGTGCGGCTGGGAAGCCCAGTCCGCATCAGCATAAGCCTCCAGGCCTGCATTGGTACCTCCTAAAGTGATAGCGTAGGTGTCACTACCCTTCAGGCAGCGTAACACCCACTTGGTGGCCTCCCAATGGGCCACTCCAGGGTTCCTCATGAATTGGGAGAGTGTCACAACCGAAAATGTGATGTCAGGACAGGTACTCATCGCAACATACATAAGAGAACCTATGGCTTGCTGATACGGTATGTTTTGCATTGCCTCATGCTGGGCATGGGTGGCTGGTGACTGAGCATCTGAGAGAACCGCTCCTGAATCCACAGGGGTTTGGGTGGACTTGGCATCTGTGAGATTAAAACGTTCAAGAACGGTGTTGACATACGCCTTTTGAGACAGGGTGATAGTGTGAGCTGTGCGATCGTGTTCTACTTTGAGTCCAAGTAGCCAGTTGAGTTCTCTGAGGTCCGTGATCTCGAAGTAGTGGCGAAGACGGTCCTTGAACTGGGTAATGTGATGGAGGTGGTGGGAGGTGACTGCCATATCGTCAACGGACACCGTTATAATGGTATGTTTGTCCTGTGAACGCTTAAAATAAACGGCCTGGTCAACTTGTGAGCGTTTAAACTCCAGCTTTGCAAAAACTCCCGCTAACTCCTCCGACCACTCATATCCAGCCTGCTTTAATCCTAGTAAGCTCCTCTTTAACTTCAGCACCTTCCCCACATCTCCTGCCTTAAGATATCCAGGGGGCGTGCACATATATATATCCTCATGAAGCTCAGCATAAAGATACGCACTCTTTATGTCGACCTGGTGAACTTCCCAGTCTCGTTGGGCTGCCATCATTAAGACTGTACATATGTTGGACATATTGGACATGGGAGCGAATGTATTGAAATAGTTGATGCCGTACTTCTGCCATTGGCCATTCGTGACTAAGTGTGCGTGCAGCTTTAACTTCTCCCTGTTGGGTCCTCGTTTTGTCGCCAGGACATAGTGACAAGGTATGAGGTTGGCTTGCTTAGGTGTGTCCACTACCTCCCACGTACCAAGCTTCTTGAGCTGGCTGATCTCATAGTCAACAGCTTCCTGCCATTCAACTGCATCCGGTCCGTTCAGGGCCTGCTGCAGGGTGGGTTTGTCCTCTGCGCTCGCCAACGCTCTATGCTGCCATATGGTGAGTGCCTCATTGTCTACAAAGTCTGACTTGGCTGGTTCAAACAGGTTTGTCTTGGTCGCCATGTTGGCAGTTTGGCCACTATGGAGGGTCACATAGTAGCCTAGTGGGTAGCTGACTTGTTGTGGGCGTGGCGCAGGTGGCGTTTCGGGACACTGGGTTGGTCTAGGTGGTGTGGAAGGTGTTGGTGGGATGGGAGTAGGGTTCTGTGATGTCAGCAGGATGGATGTGTTAGGCAACGTGCCTATGGACTCCCCCTCGTCCTGCATAACATCTACAGCTGGAACGGTGAGTGGCACAAAAGTCACATTACACTCTACTGATACTCTGCGTTTTTCAGGCCAATATATCCTGAAACCCTTGCTCTCGTCATTGATGCCCACAAAAACCGCCTCCTCAGCACAGGCTTCAAGCTTCCTGACTCCCTCAAGACGCACATAGGCCTTCGTACCAAATTCCCTGGCATTCGTGAGCGATGGGCGACAATTTTGAAGGAGTTTGAAAGGAGTGTGATTGGGGATAGCACTGGATGGT